CAAACTAATAGTCATGGAAATAAAAATGCTAGAAAGTTAATTTTCGTGTTCGGTTACATGTGTGAGCCACTGTATAATGTCCCAATTGCCAGATAAATTTTTTATTTTTCCCGATTTTAATCAGATTTTAATCCGGAACAAAAAAACAACCGAATTTTTACTTGATTATTTTTTTTATAGGGAAGTAAACTGTTCATTAAATTTTATAAATTTTTCATTGTGTTACATTTTATAAACAAACTTACAATTTCCGGATCTTTATGGTGCCTACTATAAATTAAAAAGAAATTATTTTCTAAAGAATAATTACAACTAACATGGTGCATAATTTTTCAAATAAAATTTAACAAAACATGATATATATAGAAGTTGCCAGATGTTGGAAGGTAGCTTTCACAATTAAGCGATTGTTTTTTTCGATCTCTTAGTATATACTTTGTCAATAACGATAAATACTACGGTCCTATTTTCGCATTCTGCTATATATTTCGTTAATTTTTCATAGGAATTACTCTTCAACTTTACAGTGCTCGCCATATGTAATGAGAAAAATACGCCATTTTTTATTTTGCATTATAAAAACTGCTTGAAAATATATAAAAATTTACAGATATATAATTTAATATATTGTAAACAAGTTTTCTTTAAGACTACTTAACGTTAATAAATTTGGCTTTTTTTAATACTTTAAGCTACTAAGTTGCCTTAAAAACTTGTTCGTAATATATCAAAGTATATATATTTAAATTTTATATATTTTGATTAATTTTCATAATGTAATAAAAAAACAGCATTCTCATTGTATATGACGAGCACTGTAAAAGTTTTTCATTTCATCAATCTTCGTCTCGGACACAACTTAAAATTGATATTCCATCTTTAAACACTAAGGATAAGATTTTTTGATTAAAGGTCAACAACTTAGCATACGTAACTGTGCGATAGTAAACAACAGTAACCTTTCAATAAACTATTAACTGAAGTTTTCCGTCAAAATTCTTACAGTTTTGACATATTACTGTCGAAACAATATTAATAAATCTGTCAAGTTGACATTACATTAAAACTTGTTAAAAGGTGAAACTCAATTAATGAATTTATCGAACATAGAATTGCAGCTTTTGACATTAGCTGAAGTAAGTTTTGCCAGGCAACCTGACTATTAACTTGGAGTACAGTCTATATAGTAACCTCCTATAAAGTCACACTTAATATAATCACACTGTCATTTTGATCAATCACTTAAGAAAAATAGTAAAAAACACTATACAGTTACAACCTCTTTGCAATCACACTATTGAAATAATTAATACGTATGATTATATGAAGGTTAACTTATTAGCGTTGGCATTAGTATTTACGTGCATTTATAATCTCATCGAAATTATTTAAAAATTCATAATTTAACAAAAAAGAATTCGTATGGGAAGTTCAGGCTCATGAGAAATTTTTTACTAGGATGATAGATCACGCGTAAAATAGGCCTACAACTAGGGATGTTATCAGTTTATTTACCTGATTGAAATTACCAATTATTTATATGATTATTTCTCTTTAACCTTCTAATCAAAATTAATTAGCATAAAAGTTATTTATTATAAAAAATATAATTATTTTTGTAGAAAATAGTAATTTCGGTTTGAACTGGATGATTTGAGGTACATGTAGTTAATAAAATTACTAATTTGTGAGATCATTATTTTTGTAAATATACTAATCAAAATTATAGATTATAATAATATTGTAAATTAAAAAAAAATTATAATAACTTTTAAAGAAAATTAATAATTTTATTAAACCATTTCAAACCATATAAGCTTCAAAACATTCCTACCTACCTACCTACCTAATACACACAAGAAATAGACTAAAATATTTAGTAATATGACAAAAATATAATATTATAGTATAAATTTGCTGTGAAGTTATGTAAAAACAAAAAATATTGACAGAGAATGAATAGCGTAAAAAATTTTCCATCTAAGAAATAAATCATTTACTATGCAATAATAATTTTCTAATTTATAAAATTTATGTCTAATTAATAAAATAAACTTTGAAGATGATACAAAATGAGTCGCAAGCAGAGCAACTTACTTCAGATCGTTATTTCTTTATTTTCTTTATCTGTTTCATTTATCTCGTCGATTGCATTGAGAGGGCAACTTTTATCTGTTTCTTCATTTGCATTATCTATCTCAAGCTCTTTTGCTAAAAGTAATTTCATAGCTTAATAAATTGATTTTATTTTCATAAAAAGATAATATTGAGTAAACTCTTACTTGTATATTGTGTTCGTTCTATGTTAGACAATGACACACTTATACTGTTTGCTGTTTGTATCATTAAAGTTAGTGGACGACTTTTGTATATTGCACCTGCTGCTATTTTTAACTCGGTTTTGGACTTTAAAAAGTCAATTCTTCTGCTTTTAATATCTTCGTCCATTTCATCTTTGATTTCAAATATAATATTCCGAGCTTCTTCTGCAGTTGGCCGTTTTAAAGGATCTGGATCCCAACATTGTGTGATAAGTTTGCAAAGTTGTGTTGGCATATCATCACAAAGATCTGGACGCAGACCATCACAGATGTCAAGAATCAGTATGTGATCATGTTCCCGATTGTGAAATGGTCTTTCCATATTCCAAATTTCCCATAATAAAATTCCGTATGAATAAACATCTGCCGCCTTAGTGTACTTTTCACCACGTAATACTTCTGGTGCCAGATACGGAATAACCCCAAAAATTTCATCATCTGCCTTCACTTGCGTTTCCATTTTTGATCTTCCGAAATCACTTATTTCTAAAGCATATTCATCACATAAAATATTACCACTGTGAAGATCACAATGAAGAATGCCATTTCTATGCATGTTAACCAAATTTTCTGAGATAATGCAGTAAGAAATGATCAATCTTATTTTAAGACTTAAGCCTGGATTTTTGGTAATGCTATTCAAAGCTCCATTATAGAAGTATTTTTGTACGAGAATAAAATTCTTTGATTTCGGATCTTGCGTAATTCCATAGATCATCAAGTTGAATTTGTGACTTATCAAATTCATTTCAATCTGAAATGATATGTATCATCATTATCTAATAGAGAATATACAATCAGCACGTAAATTTAATACTTACCTCATTTATAAGATCTAGGTTGTAGTTACGAGAATCAAAAATCTCTTTGAGAGCAACAGTTAATATGTCAGGGTCTTCGTTTGGCCTTTCCCAAGTGGCCTTTGAAACCTTTCCAAAACCGCCTACCGCAATATGCTCAATATCTCGGAATCGATTAAACGGAATCCATATGGGCCATTCAGCTTTATTTAAGTTGCGTTGTGCTTCAATTAAATATTCGTCAATTTTTTTATCACCACTGGTCCACGATGGAAAATCACAAATCGGGCATTTCCAGATCTCTGCATTTAGCTTTTGTAAGCAAGTTCTACAGTACATTAACTCCGTGATCAATATGTAGTTTTGTGTAATAGGATTTCGTGAAATTGCGAGTTTTCTTCTATGATATGTTTTTTCAGGAATGTCAACCTTTAATTGTTCATAGAAATATTCTATGTTTAAGTATTCACTCAATTGGATGAAACTGTTTTTTGCTCTTTTAAATTTTTTATCTCCGTTTGTATTTTCATAAATATCGGTTACAGGTCCGTTTGTCCATTTTGCTATAGATATTTTAAGATTTTGAAAATCTTTGATAAATTTGACTTCGGTAAATTGTTCATATGAAATCCCTTCAAACCAATCATAGAAATTTTTACAGTTGAGTTGTTGTTCATGAATAAATTCATCGATTTGTGTATCTTCGCTTGTCCAGGTTTTGATATCACATGTAGGACAAAGCTTGAGGTTGATGTTCCATTCTCGTCGACACTCCGAACAATATCGATCTTTTAAATCGGGTTTTTGAATAGAGTTCAAGTTCTTAGATAAACGATTATTCATTGTGATTAGGTTAGCGACATTTTTTGTCGTAGTTTTTATTGTACATGTACATTTTACTAGCACTAGGATTGTTTATTTAGGTTTTTTACCAATAAAAATTCAGCATGATTGTGGTTATTGTTATACATGTACATGTATTACTTGCATATTGACACATATAACGGTAATGATAATGATAATAATTACGTAGTCGTACAACATGTACATATACGCTTCCCATATAAAGTACATGTATTTGATATCAATAACAAAATATTATATTTAACGTTAACGTTAACGTTAAACTTGGTCACTTTTTATTTAAAACAAATCACGTGAATATTTATCATGTGAACGTGATTTTATTGGTTGGTATTTATTACAATTCAGGCCGGCACTATGCTAATGCTAAATTATCATAGTGCCAGTTGTAGTTGGGCACCTAAACCATCGAGAGATCCACTAAATTGGCTTTCAACGAAATTAACGTTAAAGCACAGCCCTCCGTTGTTAGCGTTAGCGTATATATATATTCGAAGACTAACAATTCTGTGAGTTTTTGATTATGATGTATTTTAATCAAATGAGAGTTCAAATGAAATTTCTTGAAACTTTCATTACAAATAAAACAATTAAAATTCAACAATTTTAGAAAAAAAAGCTCGTTTTGATTGATTTTTTCTAAAGTTAGCCCAGTAATTTTCGACCAAGTTTTATTAGAAAAGACCAAATCTTCATGATATTTTCTTGCAATTATTAAAGCTGCTAGAAACATACAAGAAGCACACGTTGTTAGCTCGTTTTCGTTGCAAGTAGATTGAACTCTTTCTTCAATGCGACAAATATACTGAAGTGCGTATTCAAGTGTGAAAAAAGTAAATTTAGACTTTTGAAGAATTTGCCGAATGAAAGCTCGAAAAGCACGTTTTTGGATTTTCGTTCGATAATATGCACAGTTATATCTATCAAAAATTGTTTAATAATAGATTATGTTAAAATTCTGCGAAAACATTACTCACCTAAAAGGATTTCTTCGTATTTCTTCGTTGTTAAAGACATTTTAAAGGTCAGCGGTCACATCCCATTTTAGTTGGGTTATGTACGCATTTCTTCATCGTATTTATTTAGAACCACGCGGCGTTTTCTGAATGACTTATAGGACAAACATGGCAAAGATGATAATACAATAATGCAGTTATAATACGACAATAGCGACGGAATTTAAATGCTAATTGAGTACGAATACAAAAATACTCGAGGATTTCGATCCTCGAGGAAAATACAATTTGAAAATACAATTTGACAATACAATTTGACAATACAATTTGCATGACAATTCAATTTGAGCTTTTTAAAACAACGGTATTTCGAAATATCTCTAATTCGTTAGTTTTACACTAATTCAGTGTTCCAACAAGATTCGATAACGGCTCGTGTTGTGCTAGTTACTATATAGCAGCTAATTAGGATACGTAATTAGGATATCCATCCTGCACCAGAACACCACCCACCCGCACCAGAAGGTATGACTATTTTTTTATGTGAATGTTAATTGTAATTTGAGCGAAATTAATCTTTGGTCAAAAAACCTTACCTGAGGAGATATTCAACGAAATCCTTACCGTTTTCAGGAACAAAATTTTTTTAGTCATAAAATTTAATACAGTTCTCTATACAATCTCAATACAATCATTCAGAAACGCCGCGTGGTCCTAAATACAATGAAGAAATGCGTACATGACCCACTAAAACGGGATGACATTAGCATGACTGTCCGTCCTTTATTTTTTTTATATAGATAATATAGATATCTCCAATAAAATTTATTAAAGTTAATATAAATGATACATTTAATTTTTCATGATCTTAACGTTAACATTAAAGATTTAAAAAAATGATAACGATACATAAAATTCAAAATATCCTCGCTAGCTAGATTTATGAAATAAAGTGTCAATGAATTATGAGCTGGACTTGTTAAACACATCCTTTTGGGTGATTAAAGCAGGTCCTAGTGTATTTGTTTCTTAACATTATAGAAATAGAATAACAAAAAACCAATTAAAAAATTGAATTGAAAAATTGAATTACAGAAATAACAGCATACAAAATAAGAACATTTCAAGTTTCGATAATTCAATCGAGATTCATCTGAGTCAAATTCCATAGTACATGTATATACTACGTATCATCACTTACAATCGTACTTCATCTACGTCGTCGTTTGTTGATGAATTTTCTTCCACATTTAGTTAGCATATATAAATTCACGATTCAAATTCACATATTCAATAGAAAAATTCAATAAGATGTCCTTTATGCAATCATTAAATATTTTAATCCAAAATCCACTTATTAATAATAAAAAAGTTGATTTGATAAATCATTTTAATATTCACATTCACTACCGAAACAAATGGTTCAAACCAATTATGACACTCGATGTTTGTTGGTTGGAAAGATGACAAAAATCATTACAAAAATAAAACGAATTAGAGCTGTGTTGAAAAGCAACTTGATTAACCATAGCGAAATTTACAACATAATTCTGGAAGACTTGATTGAATATATTCAAGAATCTAACAACTAACAAATCTAGAAGCGTTGGCACCCCATCGTCCAGAATTATTTTGCATTATGTATTAGCCATTTTATATACTGTAAATTCTCGAAATAACGAGCATTGGCGTTATTTCGAAAATCGCACCTTCTAAAAATAGCATAGTTAGTTTCAAAATAACGCATCTTACAATACATCACATGTGTATGTACCGGTACATACAGTAGTTTATTTGGATGCAACTTTAGAGTTTTATGAGTTCGTAATTAGCATAATGTCCCAGCACCGATTTTCTGCTCAGCTTTTTTCACATTTTTTATTTAGGAACGGTTTAAAAAAAAGAGAGATCAAAAAATTCATATGTAAGTATTGTCATTGTACTGTACATGTATATAGAAATGAGAGCAATCCAGATTGACATTCCATTATGTGCTACCCATCGGGTTCAGAAAATCGATCCTTTATTTCGAAATAACGCGCATGTGATCGAAATAACGCGCAGATGCCCGTTATTTCGAGAATTTAGGTTACTCAAAATAGAAAAGGATCCTCCCTTACCCATGTAGTGGTGGTATCTTTCAGGAGTACAATGCAACACCACATAGGTCAAAGGTTGGAACAGCCGTTCGCGAGGCTTCTGGAATCAAGACGTTAGTTGGGCCTTCACAAAGTTCCGATTTGAACCCATAGAAAATTTATGGCATGAAGTGAAAGACGTGTTCGCCGACGATCCCCTGCACCGTCTAGTCTCACAGAACAATACATGAAAGTAGCTTGGAAGGATCTTATATCCAAATGCTATCGAAAGCTTATTTACAGTATGCCCGATCGAATTGCCACTGGTTATTGCTGCAAATAGATATCATACAAAGTATTAATATTAATAAAACCATTAAACAATAATAAAGTTAGCTTTTAATCTTGTTTTTGAGTTGTTAAATTTAATAGCTGGATCTTTATGATGATCCAATGTTTATCAAGAACAACTACAACTTTATAATGAAATACTTCCAATACTCTATATTAAATGAAACTATTATGCATTAAATTATACTTTATTCAATTAAATAGTATAAACATATTTTAGTTAGTAATTATAACTGTGTTTCGAGTTAAAGCACAAAGACCAAAAGTGACGTCTATTTCTTTGTATTTGCGCGTATATTTATCCTTATATTTATTATTTAACCATTACGATTACATTTTATTTATCTAGAATTTATCTCTTCTATGTGTATTTACGAAAATCTTTTACTTGCTATCATCTCATACACATATGGGCAAAATAAACGGTAATAATATATCTCTGTCCCATGAAATTTTTCATAACGCCTATAATATGCATTGGCTGTATTAAAAAGAGCCTATATTATTTACACTAGGGATAGGAATCGATTAATTTTGTAGAATCGATTAATATTTGAGAATTTAATAATCGATTTTAAAGACAAAATCGATTCAATTAACGTTAATAACGATAACGATATCATATGTATGGCTGTGTTCTTCTGTTGGTTACCTCTTGCGCTATTAACTGATAACGATAATATGTGTGCTGACTGTGTTCGCATGTTATTAAACTAACGAAAACAGCGAAAATATGCAACATTTTTAGAGGTTTCTCGTAAAAAACTTGGGGGATCAGTAAATGCTAAACGTGGATGTGGATATTTGTCCAACTGTCCATGTCCCATCAGAGGACATGTTTCATCACATGTCCCATAATTGGTTAAACATAACGATAACGATAATAAATAATACGTCTCAGTATTGTTCATGTCTTTGAATAGGTCAGCCATTGTCCTTAATTGTCTACAAATAAATTAGAAAACGTATACGTATTATCGTTATGCACAAAAAAAGAAAATCTATTGAATCAACAATTCTCACGTGATTAACCGTTATCTTGCAACGACTTCTTAAAACTACGTACGTATGTTCTTACTATACGTATATTTGATATTTGATACTAAACATGAAATCATTTATCAACATTTAATTTCTGGTCTTTTAGAGTTGTTCATTAATAATTGCTATTGCTTCTTTAGCTCGATGAGTCAGCTTATTGTTCTATTATTATCATTATTATGTATTATTTTTGAGGCAGATGTATTATATATTAATATAGTCAAATAAAATAAAATGATATAAAAATACCATCTTTATTTGAAGCAAGCATATAGAAAAATGACTCTTGAAAAACTGCATCACATTAATGGCATGATTGCTATTTGTTCTTTTAGCACAATAAGTTATCTCTTTGTCACATTGATGCTAATAGTAATTTATAAAGAGAGTAAAGCGAAGAAAACATTTGTTCGATTAATAATAAACCTATTGATTTCTGATTGGCTGCAAAGTATTGGGTTTATGATGAGCTATCATTGGATTGTAAAAGGAAAAATAATTGAGGGTAGTAAATGGTGTGATGCTCAAGGAGATATTATTAATATCGGAGATGTTGCTTCTGGTAATACATGTATTTTTTAGTTCGTTCCGACTTCTTTTACTTTATGTACGTAATTAAATGATTAATTTAAATTATAGGCTTTTGGGCAACTTCTATTTGTCTTCACACATTTTACTCGGTATTCAAAGGATACGAACCAAAATATTACCTTGAAATTTCAATGGCAATTATTTGGCCATTCAACATATTTATATCTTTAATAGGATTCATAATTCAATATCGGTTACATGAGAATAAATATTCATTTTATGGGTCGCGTGGAGGATCATGGTGCTGGATCAGTCAACAATTTGATGAATACTGTATGATTTTACATTGTGGTATCATTACAGTTCTTGCATTTATAATGATCTTCTTTTATGGATTGATGTATATGTTTATTCATCAACGAATGATTACTGAAGAGACAAGAAAGATATCGCAAAAGATGGGGAAAAAGTTTATTTATTATCCGGTTGTTTATATTGTTTTGGTGTTTCCTTTGGCGCTACGTATGTATCTTTGAGTATAATATATTTAACAGTATTTAAATTAACTTAAATATTCATTGCATAGAACGATATTTATCGATTTCTAGAATAACTTTACCTTTCACATTGTAAGAATATTTACTTGCGTATTTTATTTTCTATAGATATTTACGTACACATAAATATCTTTATTCAGTTTAATAGCAGCCAGCTGTATTTTCACATCAGCTGGAACTGTGAATGCAACAATCTACGGATTCTCTCGTAACATTGTCAGTGTAATATCATTCAATAAGGAAAACAGTAAAAAAGCAAGTTTAGAAGAAAATGATAAATCACTAAAAATTTCACTACCTATATTACCCTATATTCCACCATCTAACATTAACCGATATCGAGATTCTGATCAATTTTCTAATGAAGGTGAAATAATGTGGTGGAACTGAGCAAAAAATGTATATTTTTTAGCATAATAGACAACGTGAAAAAATAAAAGGCAGAACATCACTTTTATCTGTTATTTTATTTCCGTTAGCTGTATCGATTTTTAATTATAAATTGGATTTGTTTATTAAAATAAAATTAAATTGCGAAGTTGCAAGAGAGAGAATACACGACCCCTAGACCATTAATGTGCATCCCTATTTTTTGGTCTCGATTTATTACTAATGTCTATTTTAACTCTATGCTAATACATTTAATTATATGCTGAGAAAATGGCAACATGTTTTCAATATTTCAGTTCGGAGGACTACCGTTTCTTTATCATAAATTTTGGTTCTTTTCTGTTTTTATTGTATATCTGATTATTGATAATTTGATAATTTGAAAATAATGTCTTCTAGAACAGAATTATCATTTTCGATGTACTGTAATGAGAAAATGCAATGTGATATTCACCAAGTTTGTTTTGTTCGAAGAGCCATCGATAATACTTCTTTGTTTGATAACAAAAATTTAAAGTAAATTTCGTATTTATTGTAGTCTTGAGTAAAAAATTTAGTACTCGTTTCTTCAAAAAAAAATGCATTTTTTAATTGAACAAAATAATAAAACAGATAATACGAATAATAATAATAATACATGTATTAATACATGTACATAATTGACAGATAATACGTCAATGATAGATTGTGACCTATTAAGGAAACAATAACAAGCATGACTGAACTGCGATAAAGATTCTGTGTATTTAGCATACATACCAATACATATATTTGTCGAATGTTTACCAATTTTCAGTGACTATCATTATGTCATATCAATATGTTCGCAAACGTATAATTCAAGACCCACAAGAATTGAATCACTAAATTTTTATTTGCTTGAATACGTGTATGTATGTAAATGTTCAATTATTGATAAATTGCGGAACGGCGAGTTAAAAAAATTGACAAATTCAAATATTAAACAATACCGATAAAAAAATTATAGCAAATACAATTATTTTTATTGTCGATATCATAAGTATTGTACGTATTTTTATAAATTGAAATTAAATTTTATTGACATTTTTTCATATCATGAGTTCCAAATAATAATCAAAGAAACTATCAAGGCAAAAAAAAATATGAACTTAAAAATAATGTCAATATCAGCGAGTGACAACGATAGTCAAGATAAAAATTTGGATGAGGGTTTGGTCGGTGAAGGAGGAAATAAAAAAGAAAGGATGTCATTGCCACTTTTCCCGTTATTTGTGTTGAGTATAGTGATTTTTAGTGAACCCATGAGTTCAACTATTTTATTACCATTTGTGTATTTTATAGTAAATGGGAAATTTTTATAATATATTATTATGATAGTTGATTTAATTACTATGTATTGGTATATTTGTATTCACTATGATAATTTTTTAGGTTCGAGACTTTCATTTGACTGACAACGATAAAGAGATCAGATTTTATGCTGGTTTAATATGTAAAAGAGAATTTTTTGATTCTTTATTATCGTTATGTTTATCGTTCATAATTTGTATTTTATAGCTTCATCTTTTTTCTTTGCTCAATTCTGTTGCGTGATTTTCTGGGGTTACATGTCTGATAAATTTGGTCGACGTCCAATTTTGCTGATCGGATTGTTGGGCAACATTATATCTTGTACATCATTTGACACAAGTAAAACCTTATGGTGGGCTACCCAAGTTTACAAATACCGTCTGTACTAATGATAATCTAATAAGATCTTTTAATAATTGTACGTATAGGTGGGCCATAGCTTCCAGAAGTCTTAATGGTGGTTTAAACGTAAGCGCATATGCGTAATTGTAAATGAAAGCTATCTTATTAATTTTACATTATACATGTATTTAAAACAGGCAAATGTGGGGGTGACAAAAAGTTTGCTTGGTGAGATAACTGATTCTACTAATAAAGCAAGAGCTTTTTCCATGTTTGGCTTGACTTGGGGTATTGGCTGTATAAGTATGTACAAGAAATATTGGCAATTTGAATGTGAATTTTTATATGCCAACATTTAATTTCTTAATTTTTTTTTATTATAAATATAAGTCGGTAAGTTTATACCAGCGTTAGGAAGCTCAATATTTTTCAATCGTCTAACGTTTCTATATAATTTTTAGGACCAACCATTGGTGGATATTTGTCGCATCCTGCTGACCATTTTTCGAGTATTTTTAATAATGATTTTTGGAGATATTATCCCTATTTGCTGCCGTGTCTTGTTGTGTCATTAGTTTCATCTATAGGGCTTGTCTGTAGATATTTCATGTTACCTGAAACGCGTAATATCATTCGAAAATCTGAATACAAGCCTGAGAGTGAACTGTTACTTTATACAAAACATAATAATCGCTCTGATGATGTTGGATCTTATGGAATTAGTTCTCTCAATGGTAACAGAGAAACGCGTATTACTGATAATAATTCAACATTAAGCACGGATAACTGGAAATTTCGTCTTTTACATGATATATCTCCTGCTATCCCATCTCATCTCCTATGGAATGTTAGCTCTTTCCATAATATACGACGAAGTATACATCATATATGCAGTAACTCGAGTTTCCAATGGTGGCCTTGGCTATCGATCTCAAGATCTTGCACTCAGTTTGGTGATTATGGATTTCGTGACATTATTTTGTCATTTTATAATTTTACCATCGCTAAATAAAAGAGTTGATACAAAGGGATTATTTCATATCACATGGTTTCTTTATATTTCCGTTTACATGATATTTCCATTAATAAACACCCTAAAACGGATACTCAATTGTTATTTTGAACCTGAAAAAGGTATTGTCATGTGCCCTGATCAAGGAAACTTAACGAGTGAATATATAGTTTGATGTATACTACTGGGAACATTGTCTGTTCGTTTCTTCTTGAATATTATTGGATATACAAGTGTTACGCTTTTGGAATGTAGCGGTAGATACGTATCGATATTGATTAATTAATTATCTGGAAAACGCATCTATCTAATGAATTTAAATTCAACAGATTTTGAATACCATTTCACGAGAAGTTCTTGGCACTGTAAATGGAATAGGACAAACAATAGCATCCCTTTCTCGTGCTATTGGATCCGCGTTAGGAGGAGTTCTTTGGGCTTGGTCTTTGAATAATAATCTCAGATTCCCATTTGATCGTTATTTTGTCTTCATTGTGATGAGTGCAATGGCGTTTATTGGGTGGCTCCAGAGTTATAGGATACCACGCCGGTTATTCAAATCTTAACAATCTTAAATTTTTCAAATGCATGTACAGTATGTACGTAGTGGTAGATTTGCATTAAAGAAACTTCTTCGCTTTAAAAATTACATTGTCTGAATAATTATATTAACATAATAAAAAGCACTACATTCGATCTGACAACACTGAATATACCTTTCTAATAACTCAATCGAGCGATTATTATTAAATTTTACATTCAAGCAAACGCAATTTGAGATGTTTGAAATCAAATTCCTTAAACAAATTTTGACTTCCATGCGCATTTTTGAAACTCCATGCTCAAAGTTATTTTATATTTGTCTTGAAGCTAACTTTGTTAGAGATGAAATTTGCAAAAAAACCATATATACTAGATGCATATACTCTCACAGCTTAAAATAATTCTCTAATAAAATATTATTTATTGGCTAAACATTATCAAAAAGGCACAAGTCAAGTTTTTGAGAGACGCGAGTTCCACGATCAACACTATGCAACATATTGTGTAACATTATGACAAAATACCCTATCCTTAACAACTCACTAAATCATTCGTCTCTTGTGAATCAACCGGTACTTTCGATTATTCTGTACCGGCACGGCACTTCTTGTCCAAACATTATTCGCGTTCTTTGATTTTGCACTGCTATTGTTATTTGTTATTGATGCGGTTATTGTTATTGTATTTATAGACGTATCATTTTGTAGATTTGAGTCATTATTGGTGTCTGTTTCTTCTTCTGAAAATGGATAAAGAAAAACGGGTTACCGAGGTCATTTGAATAAAGCTTCATTATGATTAAAAAAATATAAAGAAACTTGTGTTTTGTTTTTTGGTCGCTATAAGAAAATAGTATAAGTTTTTGATGTTTTAGTGATATTTATACAAAATCGTCTTGGAAATAAATAGCAATAATATTTTTCGTGTGTGCAATTTATTTTCGTAATAATAACATGCATCATAGAAAATTATGTAAGAGATCTTTCATAGGATATCTTTACCGTTGCTGCCTTTTGCACTATTCATTTTCTTTATGGACACATACAGTCAAACCTCTTTGTAACGGCTGCATGGTTCTGGGAATTTTTGACAGTTATAAATAAATTCATTATACAGTGTATTATATAACGAATATATATGTGTCCTATATGACGGTTCCGAAATTTCATTCGTTATAGAGGTTTGACTGTAAATAATTTCTTATTATTATTTTTTTGGCGCAACAAATTAATACTAGTTTTTGTTTCGCATTTGTCACAAAAATACATTTGGAATAAGTTATTGCCGTTATCAATGCCTATTTTAAAGCATAAACTAAAATTGCTGCAAGGGATCTTCAAGAATTTGATTTATTCTCGTAGAATCATCAAAAAATCACAAATAAATGTGCTTTCAAAGATTTTTGATCATTACTACAAGCTAATAAACAAAACAAAAATATTTCTTTTAACAAAAAACCAATGATTTATATGTTGACGCGTTTATTGTTTCTGCATTAGATTATGTATATGAGCAACCAAAAAACGCAGGATTTAAGTGAAGAAGTTGCTTATTGTTACAGTCGAATATAAGACAATACATTTACGTATATGATTGTTATATTTTTCTTTTTACATCATGTTATTAATACATAATGTGTGTTGCATAAAATAAAACTGATTACGCAATGTGAGCAAAAATCTATAAATCAAGATGCATAAATACATTTTTTGTATTTTTCGATATACATACGTAGTTCGTAGGACTTTTTTTATTTAATTCTATTTTCTGTACGGAGGAGGGTATATTATATGGGGATATTCTATATAGAAATGATGGTTTCAGCCAGAATTAGCCTATATTTGACCAGAGTTATAAGGGAGGGGTACGTTACTCACTTTGTAAACCATGCATCGGACCGGGTACAATTCATGGGGGTATGATATTATGGGGGGATTCTAAATGGCAAATTACGGTACATACACATACATACATAAATAATACTATCGCTTTTTTTAGGTTCTTGGTTAGTTGAATTTTATTTCCTTTGCCTTTATGTATGGAAGATAACAATGCACAAGGCATGGACATTGTTATCCCACAGGTTTGTTGAACCAACTTTTTATATAAATTCTGTTTCATAATGATAATAAAATAATAAAACATTAAGTTTTAGGTCTTTGCTTGGAATTCCTTACCTGAACTATTGAAACTGGTTCTTCCTCAGTATTATACATATTTAATCAAACATTTTAATGAGCTATCACCATATTGAATACAGGAGAATTTTGAGGTTCCGAATCTCGAGTTGGACGCATTTGTGAATATCAGTAACAAAGAAGATACATATAAATGGTTTATGACATTTCAATTCTGATCAAAAACAATCATGTCAAAAACAAAAAGTTTCAAAATCAAAGGAAATCATGTGCTTTTTTGAGAGAAACATCCCTGTATTCATAGTAATGAAGTAAAGAAAAAATAAGATAATTGTGAAACAAAATGTCTGCAATCATCCCGAGCACGAAATATATACTGTACTGCAATTATTAGAGGGTTGGTGAATTAAATTAAGTCATTCTTTGGAGATAAATATAAAATTCACGCACAATCATATTATTAATTCAGCAGAGTCACCGAGTTTTGGAAGAAAATTTGTGAAGTTGTTTAAAAATGAACATTCTCCTGTTTTAGCATTACATATTTATGAGGATGAACTTCATCTTAGTGCTATAAATGAACAGGAATTATTGAAAATACTTGCAGATTGTGCCAGCAATCCAGATTATAACTATATTACTAAGTTTTTTCAAAAATATTGTAAAACTACACTTGGTAACTGTAATGATAAACTAATATTTGAACATTTAGCAATAATAATCAAAAATTATAACAGCTCAAATAAGAATAAGATAGTTTTGCAAAATTATATATAATATACATGCTGAAAAGATCTTTATTTATATATTATAACAGGTCTTATATGTTAGATACATGAAAGATTTCAATATGTATGCTTCAATCTCATTTAAACTACTTAATACTTCAATTACTCTCTTTTATATCAGTTATATAATTGGAATTCTTCTACTTGAATTATTTATTATCTCAAATAAACTTAAAATTATATTAAAAAAAGGTAATGAATTTACTAAAAATGATTCTTCTATTATATGCAAATTACAACTAGAACTAATAGTATTTCTCACAGATGACTTGAATATTGAATACAATATTTTAGAATTTTGTTAGCCACAAGCTAATATTTCTATTATTAATTAATTTAATTTAATAAAATAATACTAATTTAAATTGAAACTTATTAGAAAAAATTTGTTTTTTATATACACTTCATATTCTGCAAGTATTTTGATAATAACTTTATAATTTAAAATATTAAATTAAAAAAGAGAATTAGGTATCCATTATGAAAAAATTCTTTATATATTATCAAATTCAAAAATAAATATATATTATAATGAATTTAAGTAAAGCTTTTATAACTATTAATTACTACAAAAGTATTTTGAGCTTTTGTAAAATTATTATCAATTTTGAGTTTTATTTTTTCAAATATAATTATCTATATATGAAAATAATACAAATAATTATATTTTAATATATTAAAAAATATTATTTTATGAAAATACAAATATATAAATCTATATAAGTATTTCAGTTTGTAATTGAAAGTATAAAAAGATTCTATAAGTAATGATTACTCAAAGTTGCACATAAGTATTTCAGATATTTATAAATTGCAAAATATTTTTATATTCTAGTTAGAAAATAATATATGCAAATTTTATTTGAAAAACTAATATAAAAAATGAATTTTTAGTTAATATTTATAAATAATAATATAAATAATAATATAAATATGATACAAATAATAATATAAATAATAATATAAATATGATACAAATAATAATATAAATAATAATATAAATAATATAATACAAGATATAAATATAAAAATCTTAATTAATTAAAATATAAATATGTATTCTCAAAATTATTCAATAAGATCAAATATAATTTTAACTAATAATTAATATAAAATTCTATTATATAATAGTATAATTAATAATTTTATCTATAACAGTTAAAAGAAAAAGAGTGTATAGATTGATTTGTACTTATTTATTATCTAATTTCTGTACTAATATCTATAGATATTATTCAGTATAATAGTAAAGAGAAAAGTTTAGTTAAATCAGTTTGTAATGGGTTATTGACAATATTCTGTTTATTAACTTCTAATTATTGCTTTTTCTAGCTAAAAGTCTTAAAATATTTAATTACAAAGCACTTTTCAATCAATTAATTAATATATCATTAACAATATTAATATTATGTCTAAATTAAAGAACCTAATCATTAATTTTTTTAATAAAACTATATTACAGATAAAAAAATTATATATAATTATTTTATTTTACAAGAGTTATATTACTTGAAGAAGAATTATATAAAATTAATTTTATTTTTTATTAGTAACCTGTAAATTATTCTTTTTATATATTTTTTGTTATATATTATAATAATGTTCTAGTTCTATTTATATTAATATTTTATTGTTGAAAGTAAAATTATATTGCAGTTAAAAATGAAATTGAAAATAACTATAAATGGAAAACAAAAGCAAAAATAAAAAACAAATCCTAAAAGAAAATTTATTATCATTATCAAAAAAATAATGAAGATGAAAGTGAGAGATAATTAATTAAAAAAAGTAAGAGCAAAAATCAAATAATAAACAAAAGCAAAAAATGAATAAAGAAATAACAATAACAAATAAATAAATAAACAACAAAAAATAGAAAAATAAATTACAATGAAAAATGAATGAATAAATAATAGTGAAAATGAATGAATAAATAATAGCAAAAAAAAGATAAATAGATAACAGCAAAAAATAAAGGGAGAAAAAGTGGATTACTATTATAAAAATAAAAAAAATAGAAGTAAATTTAATTTAAGAAATGTAGAATATTATACAAAAAAACTCAGATAAATAAAGTAAATTGTTAAAATCAGGATG